TTTTTTTTGTGGGAATATATATGTGTTTGTTTTTCGCCCCCCGTCTTGCTGCACCCCCTGGGGTGTGGTGCAGGGCGGGGGATGCCTGGTCGGCGGGAACCCGGCACGGAACCCTCCGGCGTTGTAGGCGGGTGTGGGAAGCGTTCCCCGTTCTCCTTTTATTTTATTTTGATCGGTCTCCTCGACGCTCTTTCTCGTTTGGTGCGGTAGCTGGTCTTTCTTTCTATCATTTTGTTTCTCTTCCGAGTGGTTTTTGTGCCCTATTTTTTTCTGTTTCTTCGTGGGGTCGTGTATGCCGGGTTTTGAGACCACGGGCTCCCAATCTTTCTTTTTTTAGAGCTAATGTGAGAAACAACAACAACAACAACAACAACAACAACTGCCCGCCGGACCAAAAAAAAATGATATGCCACCTATGATACAACAATGCGTTTGGACGTGGTTCCTATGGTCTGCCTGCACAGAAAAAACAGGTCTTGACCACAGAAGGCTCGGTAACCGTTGGATAATCAACGGCCATTTCATGTGTTTCATGCGGATACTGCTGCACACAAATAAACCACGAGGAGTGGAACAGTATACACGGCTTTACAGCGCATAATGAGTGTACAGCGTGAACACCGAAGCTCTCTATTCGATATAGTGGCACTATTGCCACCATCGACTGTCTAATAGTGGCAATAGTGCCACTATATCGAATAGTGGCACTGCCCTGAATAGTGGCACAATTGTGTCTGGCCACTATTTGCCACTATATCGGGCCACCTACTGTACTGCTGTGCGCGCATGCGCAAGTTTTCCCGCACATCGAAGGAGTGTTTTTCTTTTTGTGTGTGTGTGAGTTTTCATGTTCACGTATTTATATCTCATGGGCAACCCCGAGACAAGTCTGCGGCGAGACTTTTTTCTTTTCTTGTTCAAACGACAAACAACACAACAACACCCCGAGATCCTGGGCACACGCGCAATGCAGTCTGGGTGCTGCACGATGACCACGAATCCGTGACTTCTACGGCTTGGGGGTATCGCACCTGGTAGTCCCTGGAGGCACGGGCGTTCAGGAGTCCCGGGGCGTACAGTCCTGCGCCGGCGACAAAAAAAAGAAGGCAGATAGGCCAGAAAAAACAACAGGTGTGAGAAAAAGGGCTATGGGATTCTGGGGTAGGTGGTGATCATATCTCCAGCTGTAGAAACCACGACACACGTACATTTGGCACACGAGCAAATGCATACCATATGCACATCCGCAAAACACACGAACAAACAGCCTAGCCTCTCTCCCATGACGTCCTCTAACTGTCCTACCGAAGAAGCGCAAAAATGTTTTCAGCGCGGACTGGACTGGTGTCGATTTTCATTGGTCAACCGGTTAGCGCGGTCAGCAGCTACGGCGAACATATGCTGACCCACATCACGGGAAGGAATTAACGCTCAGGCGGGAATCGAGTCTCCATTCACACATCAACAAGGAAAAACATGGCCAATAACTACCTGAATGCCCAAGACATTACCGTCCGCACAACCAATAGAGAAAAAAATATATTGCAAGTAGGCTTTGGGGCAGAGGTGCACGACGACCGCTATTTTCAGCGACAGCAGTATCAACAGTCTGCTTGGAAGACTAGTGTAAGACTTCTTCCTATTTTGTTACCGTAGCGTCTTGCATGCCCCCTCATCGAACCACTCGCGGTCAGGCTACTGCCATAACAACAGTCAATCGTCTCAGAAAGCGTCCTGTCGCGTCGGAGCCAGCCGCGTGTGCTGTAAGGGAGCGAGTCCGGAGGACGCAATAGAAGCATTTGAGTCCACGGGACTGTTTTCTTTGTTTAGGCAATGCTAACATTTTGCCAATGACAATTATCTGTTTTTCGTACAACAACTCACTCTTGTTCTGGCGGGAAGCGGGGTTGATGAGGGCCTCACTCGCGGCTGCTTTCCTGAAACGACAGACCAGGTTCGTGGGTAAAAAACGGGGGGGTAGGGGGGAGGCACCGGTGGAGGAAGGGGGAGATGATGAGGGGGTCGGGGGCGGCCAAACGACAGGTAGATAATACCGGGATGGGTTAGATGAGGGCGGGGTGATGGCGGCGGCGGGGGCTGCCAAACGACAAGTGGATGTATTAGGAATGGCATGCAATGGATTGATTCACGGCGTGGTATCTCCATATGGTGACACCAAGCTGTCCGTATGGTGTTTCTAAGGCTCTCCGACATCCTTATCTCCCCCGCGATGAATAAATTCGTATAGCCGTGGTACATACAAGATGGCACCTACCTGTAACTTTACGGTTCGTCTCCGCGCAAGCAGCAATTACAGATAGCGCCCGCGGTTAAGAACCTCTACAACAGGTTCTGCCGAGGCCGGGGTTCTTCGTTCTTCTTGTGGGCTACCATATGGCCGCCATTTTAGGTTTTATGTAGGTTTTAGAGCAGCAGTTCTTCACCGGGCTCAAAATGGTTTCTTCTCAAGTTCTTGGCTTCGAGTTTTTCGACGGTCAATTTCCTAACTTCTAAGTTCTGAAGTGCGGGCGCCATCTGTATATGGCGATGGCACAGCTCCTGTGGGGCTACCTTGTGCTTTTGAACCCTCGCGTCCTACGAACCACCACTTACTTGAGGCCGCCGATACGATGACCGGGGCTGCTACCCATTATGCGTCCCCCCCGCAGCGCCGAAACGGGCTGGGACTGCTGCTGCTGCTGTTGCAGCATCATGTTGTTGCCATTCGTCCGGAGCTGGGAGGTGATTGCCGCAATCCACACAGCGGCTCTGGCCAACATGTTTTCCTGGACTGAGTTGGGTGTTTCGTCAAGAAAATGTATATTTGTAAACGGCAACGAGAGACGTTTTGTTTAGGTTCGGTTGGGGGCGAGTGGACGGGGGGGTATTCTAGCTGTGCATCGGTGGCGGGGAACAGCGTTCTAATCATAGGCCTATCGACAGGCTTTTACACACGACAGATGGACGGCGCAAAAACGTGCTCCCGATTGTGAGTGCCGATCGATGCGCAACACTTACGGTGAGCACGAGATACCTCCCTGTTTTTTAGAAACTGCACAGCAGTAAAAAAAAAAAAGTGTACACGTTCCCTGTACTGTGGGTCTTGGTCTTACTATTGTGTACTCATTTTTGTATTTTTGTAACGAAATTTCCCCTTTCACTATGCATAAGATGTCCGGGAACGACAATCCCAAATATGTGGTCCCCGTTCGCGGAGCCTGATGAACTCGTCACGCACGAGGCGCACCCGCACAAATTCTCCCAAGTGTTATTGACTGCTCTTGGTGGCGTCATGAGGTGTCTGTCGTGGGGTGTCATGAGGGGTCGCGGGGTGTCGTGGCGTGTCACGAGGTGTCCCACGAGGTGTCTCACACGATGTCCAAAAGGTGTGCATGGTGCTCTAGTATCATAGAGGAGACAAGTATCGAGAACGGACCGTTGTTGAAGTCAAACGATTGTACGATGACCGGAGGGAGCTAGGGCACGCACAAACAGCAACAATAGCCTGTCTCACATACCGTTTGTAAGCACCTCGGTTGAATGGCGCTGGGGGCGAGTGCGCATCGATACTCATCGTATCACGAAACAAATGCAAGGACTGACGGATCGTTGTCTGTGGATCGGGCTAACTCGCCCATCCCTCGGGTGTGGCGCTAATATGCATATACTAGGAAACGTAATTATCTCGTTTTTTTTGCCCCCCCCCCATCAATAACAACAGTCATCCTCTATACTCGTTAGGTTTTTGCTGCGCGAGGCTTTGCAAGCGTTTGTTTGTCAGCGGCGCACTCTTCTTGTGAAGGAGGTGCCACGAAAAGGCTCGGGTCTGTACTCGACCGCTGGAGCTCGGGAACCGGAAACCCGACGCGCTCCGAAAGCCAGCAAGCACTAACGCATCCTCACAAGCTGTTTTGTAGCACACGTTAGATGGTTACCCGGCATGGCGCCCTCAACAACCAGACCACGCAAATCAAAAGCGCCTTCCGCGGAGGGTATGTTCACTGATGATGCTGCTGGCACCCTCGTCCCTGCTTGCTCTTCCGCCCTCTGCAGTAATAGGTGTTCCCCTTCCCTCCCTTTCACGTGTCTCTTGTTCCTCTCCAGATAAATATGTCGTCTGCTTGTGTCCAAATCGAGGGGGAACAAACAAAAAAAATGCTCTTCCTTGAGCCTCGGCCGTGCGTACCTACCTTTGCCTCCTCTTGGCAACGAAATCTCTCTCCCCGCGCGGTTTACGTATGTACGGTGTGCAGTGCGTGCAATGACGTTTGCTCGCAGTCTCGAAACTTCCTCTCTCCTTGTGTCTTCCGATACGTTTTGACCGCAGGTGATGACTAAATCGGCGCGGGTGCGCGTAGGCGGCGCGTCACCAAGGGGGGTGCGTAGTCGCACAAGAACTGGGGCGGGGTTTGGGGGGGAGAGCAAAGGTTTCGAAAGATGTTGTTGCTTTTCTCATTCCGTTCTCAAGTTCCCACGGGACGTTTGCATGTATTCCCGTGGAAGAGAGGGAAGAACCAGAACAAGGAATTTTCTTCTGGCACGGTGAATGAGACGGCGTAATATTCGTAACATTCGGATGGCCTTGTTTCTGCTTGCGTTGTGAAGTACCCAAGATTGAACCAAGGGGGTGTACCTCATTCTCTCCGGCCCGTGATGATGACCCCTAGTCTCAGTTGTTACCTCGCATGGCGCGCAGAGGGAGTGGAGGACTCCAGAATATCTGTCGTTGATATCTATTGACTTGCGGACCCCTCGGGGCCATTTTATTTCAGTGTACCTTTTAATAAGGGTAAGTTAGCCTGCGACTACGGGAATCGACGGCGTCGAGTGTTGTATCAGTACGGACATGCGAAGGTACTGGGTAGAGAGAGATCGAAGACAACAACATCCTCCTTAAAGCAATCGGCGTGTTCCTGTGAAGCCTCCTACCCCGCGCCCGCGCGTGCACCGCTGCACACACGAGACAGAGGCTGCCGGAGCTGATGCGTCGTGTATGTAGACTATGTCACCTGTGCGTAGCATGTGAGGGGCGGAAAAAAAAACCCGAGCGAAACCGCCAAACTCTCTCTCTCTCGTCGAGANGACAACAACATCCTCCTTAAAGCAATCGGCGTGTTCCTGTGAAGCCTCCTACCCCGCGCCCGCGCGTGCACCGCTGCACACACGAGACAGAGGCTGCCGGAGCTGATGCGTCGTGTATGTAGACTATGTCACCTGTGCGTAGCATGTGAGGGGCGGAAAAAAAAACCCGAGCGAAACCGCCAAACTCTCTCTCTCTCGTCGAGAGAGAGGAGTTAGAAATGTCTGCACAAAAGGGGTGATCCCACAAGACTAGTCTTACCCCGGTGGCAGATATTGAGCGTAGATCATTTCGCACCTGTGTCGGAGGGGGCATATGCTGTCGATGCGGAACGCCTGTATGTGAAACGCTCCGGAAAACCGCGCGCGCGGCACACACGCACGCCGAGCGGGCACAGCAGTTGGTTGCTTTTTTTCGCAGCAGCACTCGCGCATGTTGTTGGCCGCTCTTTCTAGCGCTCTCTCAAACTTACCACTGCTGTACAATACAGGTGCACATGCCGCATATCCGACGAATGTGAGCATGTTCCTCGTCAACACCCCTCCTCTTGTTGGTCGCATAGTCTAAAGATGGAGGAGGAACAAAAATGATCGTTATACACAGAAGAGCAGCGCGACCGGGCGTACATCCACCCAAGGCTAAAGGTTTACAGCAGTAGACTATTCCAGTAGCTA